ACCTAGTATGGTGGTGTTGGTGCGGGCGGTACTAGTCGATTTTGAAGCTTTCCCTTCTTTTAAGTGACGACAGGCTCCAGGGTACTACGAGACGGGCTTGGCTTGGCCAAGAAGGTTCCGTCAGGACTCTGAGAGGAAGAGGGAGGCTGGTCTCAGAGGGAGCCCAGTCCACCGCCAAAATTGAACCCGTCTTGTTCGTTGTCGCGGGGAGCCACTTGAAGGGCACTCGGGGCACTTCTGGGCGCTTTTGGGGGCAGGGTCCCTCGCTGTTGACGATGCGGTGAAGGAAAGGAGGCCCCTAACAATACTCCACCGTCACAGTTCCAAACGGAAGCGAGTACCGACTTGGGTGACAAGGGGTGGAGGACACCGAGGACGGGTTTGCAAATCGGCCCCCACAAAGTCACAGAAACGGGTCAAGACTCAAGACCCCCCCCAGAGATGCTGTGGCACTCGTGGCAGTGGCACTGAGAAGATCGCGGTCCGTGGGAGGTTTAGCCGTTGATGTTAAAGTGGACGACGAACAACGGCTGGCAGCCGGACAAAAGCGATGTGGGGATACAGAGGCTGGGAAACGTCCAGGTCTCTTTCTTGCCTGGTATCTGTAGAGGGGACGTCGATGGAGATGTTCTGTCGTTTTCTGTCAACGGTATGGGAGATTCCGATATGACGGTGTGAGATGCAGGTGAGCGTTTGGTATGTGTTTGTACGGATATCCCGGTCTCTCTCTCTTTCTTTCTCTCACTTGCGATGCGTAGTGAGATGGAATGCGAGGCCACGATATGTTGGCTGATATGAGAGGAAAAGAGCGGGGAGGGTAGGGAGGGAGGTCGCAAGAGAAATCGAGAAACGGGGGACGATGCGGCATGAGAGGGGCTCTTCGACATGAAATACAACGGCGGACAGCATCGGCTCACAATTACACGCCATGACTGGTTTCCAATCTTTGGGAAAACATTGGAGGTGAGCCAGTGAGAAGGTAGAAGCCAAATGCCCAGCCGAATTAATGAGTGAAAGCCCAGTGATGGGAGCGCAAGTCTGCCCCTTTCGCACCTATGTCTACGGATAGAATACCCTGCTTCTCATCACGGTCGCATTCGCAGTCCCAGTCAGTCACGGTGACAAGTCCACGTCTTCTTTTTTCGTCACACTCCCTGAAAACCGGGAGGGAAAAAAACCACCCCCTCCCCTGTCTTCATAGGGGCGACAAGGCCAGCCCAGGCCGCTCAGGGTGAGGCGACATCCCGGCGATTGGCAGCGGAAGAAGCTCTGAGCGCCTTTTTTGTGCATTTGGGCCTCGTTGCAGGTTGCAACTTGCAGCTGGCCATTCCAAAGGAGACAAGACGGATGGAATGGGGATGGAACAGGCCAAACGGAAAGGGTGATTCGTGACTTTGGGAGCTGAGAGCCTGAGACTAGCCGGGGCCGGTCGGATGAGGAGCCACCTAAGTCACTGAACGCTCCCAGGCCTCCCAGTCTGATCCTCGATCTGTCTACTCCGTACATTCAAGTAGGTAGCGTCAAGTTTTTAACCTCTCACACCAAGAACGCGTGGGAGGGGGAGCGGGGAGAGAAAACTGTCAGCTCGGCCAGGCCCACCTCTCTCCCTCGTCTCGTCTCTCACCAGTTATCCGTGAGCTGAGCTCTCACCTCGCGTCTCTCACTCAGACTCAGTCACTCTCACAGTCTCACCTCAACCACAGGCCTTGTCCCTGCCCATCTTCTCTCCGGCTTCTTTCCGCCTTTCCGATCCTTCATCCCCTGGGGCCCAGGGGCGGATAACGTGCCTGGAAGTGGCTCCCTTTCTCTCCGCCTTTCCAGCTCCCTTCCTTCTTTCCAGCCCTCCTCACCGCATCGCAGCCAACAACCGGTCAAGGACCGTACAAGCTTGAAGTGAACTGTGAGGGCCGCTGCTCTTACTCCAAATCGCAATGCTCATTCTTGATCCCCGGTCAATCCTAACCTCCGATGCTGCCTCTCTTCAGTCACGCCATTACAATGTTTTAATGTTCCTCTTCTTGTTCCCGAGTCACGCCAGTCCTGCTTTTGATGTCTGTCCTTGCCACGATGCTGCTGCTTCAGCTTGCTGTTGCATGACGCACGCACGATGAGGCTGTACAGCTTCACTTTCAAATGGCCCCAGTCTTCCCATTTGATGTTCCTGTATTGCTACCCAGCACCGACACAACGTTCCTGACGTCGTTTGTCCAACACCGACAGCTTGGCCGAGAGCCGTTAGCCGCTATTCGTCGTCATGGTGGATTGACATGAACATAAAAATGTGACTTTCTGACAGAGCACTCCGTACTATCTGCCTTGCGTATGAGGGTCTGGACGGGCGGGTGATTGCAGGGCTCCAGATCGGTCAAGTCTCCTCACTATGAGTGAGCTCACATTGATACATCGGTGACTCTGTACGTTTTGCCCCAAACAGCAAAAGAACGTCGTCTTTTCGGGTTGCCGCTTCCGACGGGGCCCTCAACTTACTCGCACTCGGGCAATGCAGTTTTACAGAATCCGTGCCACTGTACTTAAGTATTCATCTGTCTAACAATCACCTATCACCGTCCGAGGCCAATGTGCCCTCATCTGCGGCTCTTCCCATTGGGTTCTACTTGCCCCTGTCAATCCTTACTCTCGTCAACACCATCAAGTGCAGCCGCCGATCCTGCCACACACTTCTCGGGCTCTTCTACCACCCCCATTGGGCTGCCATGCACCTCTTGACATTCGTGCGCTCCAAGCTTCGAAACAGTGCTTCCACCCGTGGTCTCGGTCATGGCAGATCGCCTTCCCGCCGCCCGGTGCTCCCGTCAATCTGGCTGCTCAGAAAGCGACACGACAGTAGGTGGCGACTGTCACTCCGGGCTCTAGCGCACTGTTGAACTCAAACCGCTCCTTGGCTTTGACCCAGGGTCCCGCCTTGAAGCAATCCGTGTGACTGAGTTACTTGGCAATTTTCTAGACTATCGTCGGCTGTCTCGCTTATCGCTTTATTTGGACCCCATACATAGCTCACCCCTCTAAGCGATGGATAGACACTTTTGTCCCTTGGCACTTGTTCGTCGCGCTTTTAGACCATGATATCTTTACTGAGACCCATCACCTCATGCTATCAGTCGAGGTCGCCTGGCTTATGTCAAAATCAAGCCATACCCAGCCTCTTTGCTTTACGGCGTTGGTTCGGTGTACGGATACTGTGGAGACGGAAGCTTCCCGCACTGCCCTAGTAGTGATATTATCGAGGTTCACCGAGATTCTCACCATGAAAGATAATTTTGAGGCTGCGACGACAATTATTCGCATATCAGGTGCTACAGATTGAAGAATTGGTGTGACATCTGATTGGGCTTCTCGACCCGGAATTTGAGCTTATCTCCGCAGGATCTTTGTCGGGTCAGTCTCCAAGCTAGTTGCTGACAAAAGAACTGCTTGAATTTATTGGAGTCATTCCGTCAAGGAAATAACTGTCTAAAACCCATAGTTGACTAGATCAGCCCGTGTCTATAGAGCTCCAAGCGAGAACAGTACTCATCAGGTGTGTTGACCAAACATGAGCGGCTCTGAATTTCTTGACACAATCTTTCCGACGAACAGCCTATCAGCTGGCGTGTTCTTCTGTGGGATATGTAGCAAGCCCTTCAACCAAGGTCTGTCTTCAGCTACTGCGTCTGCCTCTTATTTCAACGTGAGAACTAACTCAACATCCCCAAATTAGAGACTGCACTGAAGCGACATGTGTCTTACTGTCGACGAACAAAAGACCGACTCCGAAGCCGACCGAAGCCTTGTCGAGAATGCAGCGCAGCCAAACATAAGTGTAGCTTACAAGCCCGCTGTACGCGTTGCACAAAGAAAGGATTAGACTGCATCTACGCAGAAAACAGAAGTCAAGGGCCGACAGCCAGCACAGAGGCCCTTAGCGCACAAGTTTGGGCGCCGAGTCTTCTGGGCTTGGATCCAGCTAATCCTGAGTCTACTTTCATACCAGAGGCTTCGACTTTTGATCATCAAGTACAATGGGATGCATTCTCGCAAATAGTTGAGCTGCCGGATGAAGTCGCTTTTGGCCACTTCCCTCTGGCGGAACCTGGACTTGGTCACATAACCGAGGACCTGATGGTCGGTGACACCGATTTGTCTCCATCACCAGAACCATACCGGCAGATACTGCCACATTCGATGAACTTTGGCAGGCGCGTGATATCAAACACATCTGGGATCGTCTTTCCACTTCAATTCATCAAAGAACCAAAGCCGGCGGCGAATGGCAGTGCGAACATGATCAAACGGGCACTGCGCTCATATCCTGAAATGATGCTGCGAAGGTCAACATTCCCTCCCTTCATACACCAATATCAGGACAAGAGCCATCTTCCCGAGCCACTAGCAAACTGTATGGGCATTGCGATTTTGTTCGTATCTCGAAACCCAGACACTAGTTCGTTCTTATGGCAATCAATTCGAAAAGAGCAGGACAGAAACCTCAGCGAAGTTGGAATAGTGCACTCCACCCTGCCAGATGACTTGAGAATGCTGACTTCTCTCAACAGATGGTTAGATATAGCAAAAGAGATATCTTCGCCTCAATACAAGCAGAGCTGATATATATCATCATGCGTGTCGTTGCCGGCGGTGGAAGCACTCTTGTAGACCGTGACTACAACACCCACATGCTGTTGGCTTATGAGGTATCTTCTGCTACCGAAGATTATGAGTTCTTGATGGAACGCGTCGCAGCTGACAATATTTGGCTAGGCGCTTTGGAAACAGTTCATGGCCTTGACTGATACACCATGCAGTGTAAAGTCTAAGAGTTCGATTTCATGGGAAGATTGGATCTTAGACGAGTCCCGAATAAGGTAAGTAGATTTCGGTTCCATTCTGAAATCAATGTTAAACGAACTGACAAGAAGACGCGCCAGAATTGCTTGCGTGTGGTTCTTGGTAGCGCAAGTAGCCACCGTTAAGGTAGGCATATCTTGCGGCGTTCTTGACACATGGAGAGAATTGACACTACCATGTCACAAAGTACAATGGGGTGCTACAACGCCAGAATCATGGGACGAAGAAACAAAAGCGTTGAGAAGTCTTCCCAAGCGGGGTCAGGATCTGGCATACTTTGGGGAGCTTCTGGAAAGTCATCAACATGCCAACGATGCAGTTCATGCAGAAACGCTTGATAGATGGAATTCAGGAGTCGATAACATCGGGTTGCTCCTGAATTTAGTGACGGCGATGATGTAAATTAAGAGACTAATACGTAAGATGAGCATCATAGATTGTACTACTGGTTTCGCGTGTATTCTAGGACGCGCGGTCTGGTCGGTGTCTCATGCAATTAAAATCGAGAAGGCTAGAACAGGTCCAAGGCTGCCATTCGCGTTCCCTCTTTCCACTGAGGCGGCCTAAACCGATACACTGATGAGCCCGAACACCTTTTCTACCACGCGAGCGGACCCTCCCTGTTAGAGAACGTGCCAGTCGGTCCACCCGGACTTGCAATTGCCAACTCCACAATTCTTTCCGCACCAACAGAAGTCGGTGCTCCGGCGTCCATCCATCCAGTTAGTTTCGTTCTGACCAAGCCGGGGCAAACAGCATTTGAAGCCCCGCCAACATCCTTGAGAATACGGGCATAGTTGGCAGCCAAGATGTTGACAGCTGCCTTGCTGCCATCGTATGCTTTGTAGTCGACGTTGTAGAAGGGCGTACTCTCGTCCAAAGTCGACTCCAGAGAACCCATCTGGGACGACACGAAGATGATGCGCGGGTACTCAGATTTGCGTAAGAGAGGAAGAGCTGCTTCACTTAGAACGGCTGTTCCGAAGACGTTGGTTTCATAGGTCTTTCTGAAAAGATCTCGAGTGGAGCTAAAAGAATCGGGGTATGTATCGATCAAAATGCCTGCATTATTGATGAGGACATCAAGTTTTCCGTGAGTCTTCTGAATGGACTCGATGGCCTTGAAGATCGATTCGTCAGAGGTAATATCGAGCTGAATAGAAGAAACTGAGCAGTTCTCGGTTTTGAGAGATTCGGCGAGCCTAGAGCCATACTCGAGATTGCGAGATCCTATGATAACATGAAAGCCCGGGATTCTGGCGAGCTGTTGAACGACAGCCTCACCAATGCCGGTGTTACCTCCAGTGACGAGAGCGATGGACATCTTGAAGAAGGGGGTTTCAAAGTCAGGTGAAGTAAAGTAGTCTGAGTGATGTTTTGTAATAGTGATAAGAAAATGCGTGTGCTGGATATGACTTACTCCAAATTTCAAGATGTAATAAGCAGGCAAGGAAATATCTCACTTTATATGATCTCCAGTAGTGTCTTGTATTGAATAGTCACAGATTAGAAAGCCGCTTATTGACCGAGAGTGGCTCAAAGAGAACCGCATTCTCATTCCGTGCAAAGAGCGTGTAATTGGGCCAATTTCGCCGCCCGCTGAACATCCAAATTGGGCGGGGAGAGGTGAGTCCCGGCCAATTTCGCCGGTGTATTGAGTCTTAGTAGGGTACCTAGTCAGGTAAGGCCTACCCTGCGTAACAGACCAAGGCCAGATTTGGAGAAGGCAGTAAAACATCATTGAATTCAGAAGGATGTACGCGACTGAAAATCTAGCCTAAGAAAATGAAGTGTTACGGTGGAGAGCAGCCATATGATATGTTGAGAGCAGGACCGAGAAGTGCAAAACTCGTCGTCAACTGGGTAGGTAGGTACCCAAGGTGGGCACCACCTACCAATGCGTTCGATGAATTGTAGTGATCCATAGTTCCACTGACTATCTGCGGCGTCAACTCGTCTTGGTTGCTTACCAGCTAGTGAAGTTTAGGAGTCCTATGGCATCAATGGGGGTACATCGACATGTATTACCTGAATCATTAAATACGTTTGTCTCAAGCTTAGCGTAGTTAGGTTGTCAGGGCATCGAGACCTGCAGCATCGGCAATGAGTTTTTCTACACATCCAAATACTACATGTCCATATCAAAGGGGAAAATTGATGTGTTATTTCCACGAGGAAAGAGCGATGAAGCAATGTTTCTTTGAGCGTTATTGTTGTCCCGGCTTCCAGGCAAAGCTACGTGCGAAATACCAAAAGTAAGTAGTGCCCCGCCCTTTAAAAGGTGTTTGGGCAACCCTGTAGTCTCCGAACCCCGTAAATTACTCTCTTCTGCCTGTCCACGTACGAGATACCAACAGTTTGGCACGATGTCTATTCAACTGCGACAGTGAACTGGGCAAGAAACATTGACGTAGTAAAACTGGCATAGTTGGCAGGACAATATAGCCAGGGAACACGATTTAGCCTCGGGGGATTCTTTCAATGGCCGTGCCACAGACCGACCAGGTGACCTGAACGAATACCTGACTTTAGTCACTATCCACCTCAACTTGCATTTAACACACAGACAGAGAGCAGCTATGGCCGCCAACCCAATGGCGCAGTAGATAAGGCACACGAGCAATGTTGTGTCGGTCAGTAAGTTCATTCTGGCTTCCTAGAATGCGACCGGCGCGTGAAATTTCCTACAATCACTGTGGTGGTGTGCACCTTGCATCTGTGTAAGTCTACATGTACTTGCTAAGTACCCTGATAATTGGGTCTACGTCCTGAGCTTATCAAGTAACCTTCATAGAAAGATCTGAAATCCAGTACAGATTTTATCATGTGAGAACTGATCGAATTTCATGATAGACGGAAGCAATCAGGAACATTGTGTTTAGTCTTGTACAGTTACCTAGTTGGCTGCACGGTAAATCGGGCATCCGAGCAGAATTCACGTCGGAAGTAGTCCTAAAGTTCGCCAACAGAGCATGCTACTTAGCGTGACTAAGTAAAGTATTGAGACCTAGTGGCCATTGAGTATTTGATGGCATGCAAGAGAAACACGAGGTCTAACACCACGGCAGGCTGAGATTGACAAATGTTAGCATTGCCACAAATGGTGTGACAGGCACTGACATTTCGTTAATGGGATGAGACGTCCATGCAAGGGCGCATTTTCAGGTTCGACAAGGGAAGTCAAAGAGGCGCATGTGTTCATAGCTTTAGCCCCAAGGGATGAAGAAATTTGTAAAGCACTTCAGATGAACGCTTCTCCATCTTAAAAGAGTTTGCCGACTCACCTTGACTGCTGTCTGGGGCCAGGGACGGACCCTTCGCCCACACCAAAACTGTCGTCGGAATTTTGATACCTTGCACGGCCACTGATTTAATAAGAATGCGGGACACTCTCCGGTCAAACGATTCTTGAGACGTTTGGAAGGTACGCCTCGAGTCTTTGAGGGTGAGGACAGCACATGTTGACACCGAAGACTGCCTCGGCTTTGAAGCAGGTAGAAAATTGGGTTTTGCTCTTCAGCTGGTGAATGAGATGACCTGCAGGAGGAAATCTGAAGCCATGGCTCTTCGTCTATAAAATTCGGGAAGCACCCCTAATGCGACCTTTTCGTGTTCGCAAACCGTCACACAAAGCTACCAGCCTCTTCCAGAACTCAAAGGGGACTATACACATTCTTTCTGCAAATCCATATCAAGTACAACTCCATCACTAGTTCACCATGCGTGCGCTTGCTGTTGTAACGTCTGCTCTGTTGGCCACATATGTCTCAGCACAGCAAGGGGCAGTCTGCTTCGATGACTTGGACTGTTTGCTCTCAGTAAGAAACCTCCAAGGGACCAATCAAGATCAGTATATTGACTGACTTCATGGAGGGAGGACAAAATGCCAAATGCGTGAGGGCACAGGCTGGCGGTATCACAGGGTGAGTACTTTAGGATTACAGTCTGGCCACGTCCCACGACAAAACAAGACGTCAAGGCATGCACTACATTTGTATTAGGACATTAAACTTACCTGGCTCTAGGAATTGCGCTGGTGGTAAGGCTGCCGGAGCCGCTGGCGCCGCAGCGGGAGCGGGAGCGGGAGCTGCCCAGCCTGCTGGCCAGCAAGCCGCTGCCGCCGACCCCATCGGCTCTTTGTTGGGAGGGCTTACGGGTAAGAAAGCTACAGGGAAGACTACTGGCGGTGCTGTAGCACCGGCAAAGGCGAAAACTGCCAAGAAAGCAAAAGCTCCAGCATTAGGGGCTCGGCAAGCTGCTGCTCCCGCAGCATCTGCGGCTCCTGCCGCCGACCCTATTGGAGCCGTGCTCGGAACGGCAGCAGGCCTGCTGAAAGGAAAGGGAGGTCAACCGGCTGGCGCTGCTGCCCCAGCTGGGTCTCAAGCCGCTGACCCGATCGGGCAAGTCTTGGGAACCGCCGCCGGAGTTCTCAAGGGTAAAGGAGCCCCTGCAGCCGGAGCTGCCGCTCCCGCAGGACAACAGGCAAACCCCCTTAACGCCGTACTTGGAGCTGCAGCAGGAGTATTAAAAGGAAAAGGAGGCGCTCAGCCAGCTGCTGCAGCTCCCGCAGCAGGCGTGGCAGCTCCTCCGGCAGCCGCAGCTCCCGCAGCACCCGCTCCATCGAAACCGGCAGCTGCGGCTCCGGCCCCGCCAGCAGCTTCTAAGCCCGCTGGTTCCACTCCCGCCGCTCCTCCAGCTGCCGCCCCGCCTGCCGGAGGAAAGCCGAACTCTGCACCCGCCCCACCCGCTGCAGCTCCGGCAGCTCCAGCCGCTGGGAAGCCCGCCCCTCCGCCCGCCGCAGCTCCCGCGGCCCCAGCTGCAAGCAAACCCGCCCCTCCACCTGCTGCAGCCCCCCCAAAGACTCCAGCTGAGGGAAAACCGGCCAAGCCTCCTGCTGTTGCTCCTCCGCCAGCCCCTGCCGGTGGAAAGCCAGTTCCAGCTGCTCCCGCCGCGCCGGCAGCACCTGCAGGCAAGCTTATTCGCCGCGTCGAGTTCTAGAGTCAGCGGCAACTTTATTTGGAATTTGGAGCACGTCTTTCTTTCTTTTACCCCACTGTTTGACTTTTACACACTGGTGTGAGAAAGCAAATAGCGCGGGAACTGCCAGCAAAACTAGGTAGACTACAATACATGGCCTGCAATGGGCATTGAACTTGGCAAAAAGAGGCCACATACTTGCGGTATCTCGAACATTTTGCGCAAAATCAGGGCCCCTCAAAATGTAACATCAAGTCATCTCACAATCTCGAATTTCTAAGCCCACTTGTATTGCACGGGGGCGAATCTCTTTCTCTTTCAAATTGTGATATCAAGCGACGTCTTAAGCGTAAGCCCACCACACAATTGAATTCTTTTGGCTCGGAATCTTGAGAAATTCTCATTCGATTTTGAAAACATCGCATTGAGCCCCTGCCTCCCCCTCCCTTGTAGCAAGCGAATCGTCACATGATATCGTCAGTTCCGAGTAGACTCAACTGAGGTGTGCAGCGTGTAACAATGCGTTCTCGTTTCCTCATTACGTAGTCTAAAGTTTGTACGGCATGAAGAGGAGTCTCCTTTTAGCCTGTCTAAGGATTTAACATGTATTGTGTTTCATTCCTGAAAACCAGACGCAATCGGACGATAGACATCGCAACGACGATATAGCAAAGTCATCACAGTATTAATCTAATCGTTCTCATTCAAGCAACCTTCTGCAGAACAAATAGATTATCTGCGTCATGGCCAAATCTGAAACATCTGTAATGACAGGCAGACTTGAGGATCTCATTGAGAAACACGATAGACCGAGGAAATACTCAGACAGTAACCGCATATTTGAAAATTCTTTTTTTCCTTGGAGCCACCGTCAGTGGTCATGCCCTTTCCGTTACTTGAACCCACATATCCGAAATCACGAATAGCCCCATGCAATTCTTTGCCCGCCATGGACGCGCAGGATCATTCGACGCTAGTTCGAAATTGCGCAACAACTTGACAAAGTCAATACTGTAACTTCACAGCCGAAAGAACAACGACGTGCTCCAGAGTCTGCAACGCACCTCGAAAATAGTTTTAGAAAGTTCCATCTGAGCCACGGGCCTCCCGAGACACATGAACTTACCGTGACCAAAAATCAGGTCATTAGTTTGGATCATTGATGCGAGCTTGTCCGGGTCTGTCTCAAACCATCTCTCTGGTCGGAATGCCTTAGAGTCGACGCCGTATGTTACTTGACTTCGATGCATGGCATACCCAGAATAGCCCACACAAACACCACCAGGTAAAAGATAAGTTTCCCCTTTCACTTCAATAGCATCACCTCCAGGGGGAACATCTCGAGAAAAGATATTGAGAACCGGCGGTCGGATTCTCAGAGACTCTCGGATGACTGCTTGCAGGTACGGCAGCTTCTTCGCTTGGCCAAGAGTTATAATTCCCTCGCCGAGTTTTGGGGCATTCCCAACACGTACTGCCTCGTCAATTTCATGCTGTAGTTTGGCATAAACCCTGGGATTGGTCATGATTTGCAAGAGTGTCCCTCGTATGGCAGCTGCGGTCGTATCCGATCCGGCGATAATCTGCTCCAGTGCCTCAGTCTTCAGCTCATCGCCATTTAGCCCATGGCGTATGAATGATGCAAGCATGTCCGACCTTTCGTCCGTTGGCTTTTCAGTGCGTTCGTCAACATAGCGGAAGCATGCTGCGATCATTTTACCAAAACCGTTCTGGTCAGTAGGTGAAGGAGCTATGAATTTGCCAATGACAGGTGACTGAGCCATCCAGCTAATGCCGATAGCACAAGCCACACTAATAGCAGACAAGCCCTCCTCAGTAGATTTCAGGTAGTCATCCACATCACTGTCAGTCCGCAGCATGCCGAACGCTTTCCCAAGCCCGACAGAACTGATTACATCGAGAGTAAAGTACTGTATCTTTTTGGCCAAATCCATTGGTGTGACTTTGCTGTCAGTTGAAAGATATTTGGATCTCATGAGCCCGAGAAGCTCCTCAAGGCGTTGATCAATCGTAGGTTCGAGGTCTAGATTCTCTCTGCCGGAGTACTGGTTACCAAGGATCAGATTAGCCGTGCTGTTTGGCCAGAAAATTGTGATTACTCATGATATCATACCCCCGGCGCCATTTGCTTCCTTCTCTTTTCGTGTTTCTCATTGTCCGTTTGAGAGAATACGTTGTCACGCTGGTACTCAATTCGACAAGCGTGATAATACCAATCGGAGCGCTTGTATCCAGGATGTCTATTGACATGGGCCCAAACTTCAGGAGAAGAGGTCACCAAAATTCCCGGAGCGATGCGGGCAATGAGACCTTTGAGAGAGTTAGCTTCCAGGAAGTGATGTGCATTATCAATGTATATGCGATCGTCAGTCAATAGGTGAGCTGGAAGTAGTTGTGCGTACCATATCTTTCATTTATATCGGCGTACCACTCGTGGCAATTGGGGCTAATGATTGCCTTGCTGTGAGGCCAGTGTGTGAGGCCACTCCACCAAGGACCGCCAAGATGTCGAAGTTTGACATAAAGCGCGGCCCTCCGGACGACGCACCAGCAAAGCAAGAAGGCAAGAGCTGGCGCGGCAGCTTTGCTAAGGAGAGTGCCGAAGATACCCATCGCGATTTCCAGAAGATTGTTGATGAGTTGGGCCAAACGTACAATGCAGTCAAAGTTATACTCCTGACAAAAGTAAAAGATTTTGTATCCCCGCACTTTGGGAAACAGAGGCAATATGTTGCATTGCCAAAGGTGCTTTCCAACGCCCCAATCACACCCTGGACATATCCAAGCAACCCACCTCCAACGCCTTGCCCTCTTGCCATTCGATCGCTTGCATGCAGATGATGCATTATTAGTAAGACTAGAAATAGATTTATGGCACGTCGTTAGAAACTTTCCCCCTCGCTTTTAAGAAATGCTGCCGGGAAACCGCGCGCTACTTGTTCAACCTGCCAACTCGTTCTTGAATAGAAAAGATAAAAGTTTAAGCTCCTGAGCAGCGGTAAGTTTGCACTATCTGCAATAAGCCAAAGAGGGCCGTATGTTGACTGTTGAGACACTAATGAAAGCTGCTGATAATGCTGATGTTCAGAAAAGATTACATACATCTCTTATAAATTATGAATGAGAACTTGGGACTTGAAAGGAGTTCGAAAGGTAACATGTAAAGTGGGTAGAGATCGCCAAGAGCTGATTGCCCAGATGAGGGAGTTGAAGAATCTTACAAGGAGTGGAAGCTATTCAAGGGGGAAAAGAAAGAAAGAAATCAGTAATAAGATCTTCTAACATGGCTGATTTCGATTTGGTGTAATGAGCTTCTATATGAGTGACTAGCACTCAAATAAATAATAATAGAACTAAGTTGAAAGAAGTATGATGATTATTGATTGCTTGGTATGTGAGTAGGAATCATCCCCCAAAGTCCAATTGCTAATGTGTGGGCGATGGTGCGACTATGCCAAAGGCTTCCGCCGAAATTTACGCTTTATATGCAATTCTTCCGTCTTTACTGTTATTTCAGTAAAGTGTAAACTATCGTTATTGATTTCACCCACTACGTCCATGTGAATAAGATGTCGTAAGACGATCGTCATATATCAGCTAAGTGTAAAGATACTCTAAGTACTTAGGTGAACTAGAGGGACCAGGACATTTGCTGATATGAATAGTAAGTGAACGTAGATTTGAGTATATTGAACTAGCCAGGAAGAAGTAATGAAATCACACCCTAGATCGTTCTTTAATCCGACATTATGAACTTTCGCCCAGCAAAGCTCAATGACGTCCCACAAGTACATATTGCGGACAGCGGATAGTTTGGGGTGTTCATGCCTTTGCAAAGGTATCGACAGAGTGGACAAAGTCCCATGAAGTTGCTCAGTGGTTGGAGGAAGGGCAAGGGGCAGAGGGTTAACACGACTACTAGTGGTATGATAATGATTGTGACTCTGGAGCATAACTGCTATTACATATTGCGCGAACAGATGATTTTGCCACCGAGGCACGATACCCTACTGCCTGCCTTATAATCTTCAAATGAGAAACATTGATGAATTGACCACTTGAGCAACAGTGCAAGAGCATCTTTCTACCTATGAGAACCCATTTCAAAGTTGACAGATGAAGTACCCACCAGATTTAGTTATCTCGCGAACAACTACGCGCAACCTTCTGAATCAGTCCTGACTGCGAGGTGCAGTGTCATATTTGAACAGCACCAGGTAGAGGCGATTCTCTCTTATATGATAGCTTTTCACCGTGGTCAATTTTTTGGCTTCCCGCGCAGTCTCAAGTCTTAGCTGTGTTGGTTACAAAAGCATTTGAGTAATCAGAAGATGGAACATTGGGAGAAAGAGAATTGATCTACCTCACGGTCCTCACCGAGGTGATGGATGGTTAGAGCCGAGCCATAGCTCGATCACCGAATGGTGGACGTAATGGGCCATAACAGATAAGACGGCGGTCGGAAAACAATTGCAGCGGGCGGAATTCAGCGGGACTTAGCGGGAGGAACAATCGGCAGATCGAGATACCCCCGGAGATGTGGGGACATAGGCGGTGCTCAACTCCCGGGATGTGGGCGGAGCAGCGCGGGGTTTTTCGAAGGATTTCCTCGCATCCGGGGTGGAACAGACGTCAAATTAAGGAAGGTAACATCCTCGTTGGTCGGCAACGCCCGATACTCATAAATATAAGCTTGAATCGGCCAATCCCCATCGTAAGAAAGAACAATGGTAGTCAACCGCCAAGGCTGCCAAGAGAGCCAAGAGCTGGCAGTGGGAACTGCAATGACCGCAATTGAGCCCAGCTTTACGCGTTGTCCGCCAATGATTTGTTCACGATTGGCGTAAGAGGCAACTCGATCAACGGCATCTGCTAGGTTCAATCACACCGTTGCACAAGATACGAACGGGACTCAGGACTTGGTGCCTTTCTTGGCTACAGTCACCGTCTTGGCATTGCCTGTTAGATGGCGAAATCCGCAATTCATCTTGGCAACTCGAGATATGCCGCCCAACCGGCTTATCACGCAAGGCCGTTTGGTCCTGTCGTCAATTTCAACGGTCTGCAACTGGACAAACTCAGCAGGTGGCTAACTTCTGAGCATGAATCAACATTCCAGTGATGGAGCCACATTCGAGACCACTAGCCAAAAGAGCGTTGAACAGTCCCCAGTTGACGTACGACGAGCCTGGCCATGATGTTGCTAGACTTTCGGTCTCTTCCATTTGAGGAAGGTTGAAGTCGAGATACTCAGTCGCTCGTGATATGAACCTTGGGAAGGTATGTGAACTCAACAGCAGACAGTAGACGGCAAAGAACTTATATAAAGTGTCGAAACATCAGCCATCAAGGTGTTCTTTCATCCTCATCCCACCCCAGCCAAGCCAAATCCAGTCAGGTGTCCGGTCTCTTTTTCAATATGCAGTTCAAGACTCTCTTCGTCTCCGCCCTTGCGGCCGCCTCCACTGCTCTTGCCCAGCGTTCCTGCGGCACCCCTTCCCCCACGGAAGAGCAGATTGAGGTTGCTCAGCGCCTTCAGCTTAAGGAGGACAACGCTCGCGTCGAGGGTAACGCTACTCGCCTTGCTCCCATAACGGTCAATGTCTACTGGCACGTCATTGCCACTTCCAACTCGGTCAGCGGTGGTTACCTTACCCAGGCCACCCTGAATGCTCAGTTGGATGTCCTCAACGAGGCTTACGCTCCTCACGATGTCTCTTTCGCCCAGGCCGGTGTCGACTGGACCATCAACAGCCAGTGGGCTTCCGACAGCGCCGAGCTCGCCATGAAGAGATCGCTCCGCAAGGGCACCTACGCCGATCTGAACGTCTACTTCCTCCCCGGTACCCCCTACCTCGGATACGCCTACTTCCCCCAGACTGTTACCACCGGTTCCTCTGCTTTCTACTACGACGGTGTTGTCATCCGCTCTACTTCTGTCCCCGGCGGTAGCCTGCCCCAGTACAACCTTGGTCACACTGCCACCCACGAGGTTGGCCACTGGCTTGGACGTAAGGTTTTCCAACTCTGGCAGATATTGAATGAAGCTGACTTCCCCATTAGTCTACCACACCTTCGAGGGATACCAGTGCGGCGGTAACGGTGACTACGTCTCTGATACCCCCTTCGAGGCTGAGGAGGCCTACAACTGCGAGATTGGCCGTGACACCTGCCCCACTCTGGCTGGCACCGACCCTGTCACCAACTACATGGACTACTCTGACGAGTAAGCTTCTATCTATACGATCGATGATGAACCTCCATGCTGACTACTACATAGTGACTGCTTCACCCACTTCACGGATGGCCAGGAGACTCGCATGCACAGCTACTGGGACACCTACCGCGCTTCTTACCAGTAAATGGTTAAGTCGGTAATGTCAAGCCACTGATGCAGCTAGCATCATTGTTGCGTCTCGAGTCGAAAACATCAGCTTGGCCAGATCAATCGATGTCAAGGGAAGACTCCGCCAACGTGATACCGGTCGTCGGATAAGAATCAACTGGGAGAAGAAGATGAGGTGCAATTCCAGTACATACTTTACTACTTAAAATCAAGTGTATATCCATTATGAACTCTGTCAGAAGCAAAGTTTGCCTTGCCAAGTGAACGCCCTGCCTAGGTGTATTGCCTGTAAACACGTGCAAGTTCAGAAGGACGGTATTGCCCACTTTGGAACGCCCAGTTCAGATTCCAATTGCCTTGTTCCACCCCGAGTTCTCTCATTGAGGTGAATATTTCATCAGCACACCCCCTCTGTTCCTGAGCCCATTCCCTGTTACCCGTCTCACGAGACCAGTAGGCCATCATGCGTCGGATCTGTAAGGCCCTTGTTTGGCAATCCCGATCGCCGTTTCGCAGCTTCTCGGCGAGAGGAGTTAGACAACCATGCTAGAGGTCAATGTTTCCCTTCTCCTTATCAATCCTTGCCAGTAGCTTGGAGGCAAGCACGAAGCCATATGCCCCCCCCCCCCCCTAACCCCCATTGTGGAACGGGCCCCAGTTCCTCAGATCTCTGACAAAGGTCAGAAGCCAACTGATATGTCAAGGTGATATTATGCCCATGATAGTACGCAACGTACATGTACTCAGTCAGAAAGAAAATTGTACGCTCATCAGAAGACCCAAACTCAGTTCCGGAGCGGGCCACGAGGGTCCCGTAATTCGGCAATACATTATCAGCAAGCGCTGCGGGCCAGTATCTCATAAATCGAGCGACCATGATGAGAACCACTGGATGCGATCCGCCGGGTAGCTTTGGAAATGAGTCCGTGTAGAACTTAAAGACCCGTTGATTAGCTAGCTTCATTCTATCGAGCGAGAAGACGCGTAACGAGTTGAGACAGTCTACCATCATACTGGATCCTTTGCGAATGATGAAGAGTCCTGCTAAGCTGGAAATTACATGGCGGACCAGGTGATCGTTTTGAGGTTTAAGACGTGTGGATGGAAGGCCCACTTTCTTATTCTCGATACGGTATGAAATTCCTCGCAAGTATAGTATGATCCTCCATAGGTAGATCAACATCCAGGGATCCTCCTGTTGTGCAAGCTGGTCGATGCTTTTGAAAATGTTCAGAAGAGTTGTTTGACAGTTCTTCTGTGTGCCATTTCCCTGACTGATCAAAGTTGAAGCGCCATGGCATTGATCGGCAATCGCTTTCCATTCTGTCGAGTTGTCCTCATGACCCTGTGGGGGCGTCAAACCAAATGAGTTCACTTTCCATCCAGATGAAGTCTCTCCTGGACGGCTCTGATCGAAGAGGCCCATGAGATACTTGCCTATCGAATAGAGCGTGCAGGCCAAAGCTTTCAGCTCTGCAGTTGGCCAGTCCAGCACCAGATCATGCGTACGCCATGAGAATGCGGCCCCCGATTGGTAATCTGCTAGTATCCGGCCGGGGCTTTGCCCCAGCCCATCGTCGTCGCTTGACGAGTGGCGTATTCAGACCGTCCATGCGACTTTGAGGTTGACTCGATGATTCATGATTGAAAACATGCCATTCCTTGAGCTTTTTCTTGTACATGGAGTTTCTACGGTCACAAATTAAAATGAGTCAACAACTCTGAATAGATGGAGGAGATTGACCGACGAAGCGTCGAAGCCAAACACCACATGCATACACCCCTCAACCATACTCAACGGCCAGTTTCCAAGAATATAAAGAGAAACGATGATCTCTTTTTTTGCATCCCACTCTGCAATAGTATACTTGGGTTGCTTGGTCACTTGAGGCTTACTCCTCGTGCGCGTGACAGCGGACGTCGCCTGTTCATCGTGTGCATTTAGCGACATGTTGAGCTACGTAGAAGTGAGCCGATGATTATGGGAGAAGGTGAATTTCAATGTAAGGCTTCTTGCCTGGAATTTTGTAGCCTTGCAACAAGAATAGATGACGGAAGAAGGAGAGTTGAAGGCATCCCCCGATGGATAGCGGGAAGAGGGGAAGGCGGGCGTCGTAATCGTAAATAGGATGGCAGGCAAATATGTTGGCGTGGAAAGGCATCAACGTCATCGTGTCTAACGCTGCATGCGTTTGACTGATCACTGTATCGAGGCCATGAGGAAATACCTCGTAGCTAGCTGCTATGGGATTGCGTGAAAAGCTCCAGGCTCCTCATAAATTGAAGTATGACACACAGCTAAGAACTTAACTCCGCGATTAGTCCACCTTGCATTAAAATTCCTCAGAGTGATTGGCTAACCTTGCATGAAAGTGCCTTGCAGGGTGATTGGCTTAGAAATTGGTTGTGTTTGTGACAAGCCGCATTGTGGCACTTTCTTACGACCTAATGAGTGCTCGAAGCCGATCATCTGGGGATAGATAGCGTAGTACAATAGTAATTAGGTGACAGATGGCTCCACGCTGTTTTACCCGAGTCGAAAGTGCTCCTGAGCTTTGAAATAGTGTGTCTGGGGGAGGAACACGTCTGGATACCTTAGCGGAGGAGGGACTATTCCAAAGGATGAGGAAGTATATGGGTATGAGTAAGCGCGATGTTCTCGAGAGGGAGAGCAGCCCCTTTCCTAACGATTCTTCCATCAAACAACTTCCGAGATACTCTTTGATATTGATGGGCCGCCTAAGGTCTGGCAACTCCATTCTTATACAGTCAGAGCTGAGTGCATGTTCGGTCCATGGTCCAATCCTTTTCAGCAACATCGAAGCTTGGCCATCATGTATTGGAATCGGTCTGAAACTGATGTGCTGTCTACTGCCACCGATCTGACGACTTCTTTCGATAACATTGGCGACGATTTCAACCGTGAAGTCAATGCGTTATTCGACTTAATCAAAGTCGACATGAAGAAGTTCAAGAAGTCCTCTGAGGGATTTAAACGGGCATTGGGTAGGCCCCAGGCAGCAAGAGACCGAGCCTTTGTGGTCGTTTGTGGTCAACGCGATGCAACTCGGCTCAACAAGAAGTTGAAAAGCGAAGAGGCATCCTCTGAAATTCTGGCAAAAGAGATTCTGGATTGGTGAGTCGACTCAAATCCCCTTTCAATAGCTCGTGTTCGTCGCGTCTCCTTCAACAGGATTTCTGACCCTCTATCACCATGAAAGGAACTTCAAAGATGATTGTGGCCACCGACATTACACTTGAATATGAGCTCCGAGTTCTTGGAAACATGGACGAGATACGAGAACTCGTGCTGGTCGTCAGCAGTCAGTTCGATGACGTAAACTTCAAGATACCACTCAATGTTAAGTTGCTAATGGTGCTGCGGGCCGAGACTTGCTTCAGTACAGGCGGCCAACTTTGCATCAATGGAAGTTCGACATTCAGAGACACTAAGCTTGACGACTGGCAATCTATACCACACAAGGGTAGGTTGTTCTTCGGCCCTGATGTTGGAATCCCTATCGATCCAAGAGGTGAATGTTGGACAAAGGCTAAAAGGACCTTCGAACGGGACTTCACCGATGACGAAAAGAAAAAGCTGCGAAGACAGTTCGAGAAGATGAGAAGTCAGCCTATGGAGGGTAACGGATGGCTGAAAGAGTGGAAAGGCATAATTGCTTCCGTTATGGGCGTACTTGCCGGTGGCTCGAAGCTGGTGGCCGCCATCACGGCTTCGTACCTATTTCCTATTTCCAATAGACAACCGTTCTCTTTTACTTACGTCGATGCCCCTATGGTGACTATATGACAAAGTTCAAACATTTAGTTACCATCTATATTACAACGACTACTCAAAACATTTGCATTATGTTATCTCTTTCCTCGCCTCTAATGCTTTAAGCTGTTCCAACCGCATACATGTAGCAAGGTGCAGCCTAATACCAGAATAGTATCAGGCCACGCGCCCCCAGGCGCTGCGGCCAGGCAGCCTTAGAGATTGTCCTGAACCCAGATTAAAAAGCAGGGCTGCAATCAAGCTGCTTGTGAATACTGATCTGCAAAAGTATCTGATTACCTAATGACCGGACTAGAATATACGGCCCCCGTGCAAGCTACCTTAGGATAGTGATTGAGGGTATTAGGGATAGAACCGAAGTACCTCGGGTTGGGACATAGATATAGGTTTGTTTATCCTTAAACCCAAGGTCATAGCGGACTCTCCAAGACATCTGTCTTAAGATGTCACAAAAAGCGGGCCCACTCAATGTGGGCAGCATTAACCACATCCATATCTCGTGACATAAGACGACTACATTCTTCAATAAGTAGATGTGTACGATATAATTAAGAATACTCCTCCATCTATTGATAATCTAGCAATTTTTATTCGTGACTGGCAAGGTAAACCTCTTGTGGAGTGGCTCGTGAAGTACTTAAAAAGACCTTGTTTCCTTCCTCATAGTAAACAAATACCCGCCAAGTCCGCCGAGGCATATCATATGATCGGCAGCGTTCTCGTATCAAGTAGTTGTATATTTAGAACCTAATTGGTTTGCCAAAATACCACAAAAATACCGGATTCAGAAGTAATCCCCAGCCTTATCTTATGGCAATCCCGCTTATCTCGACACGTAGTAGCTGTCTAGAGGCACGTGGGGTTGGATGATGCACCAGGAGCACGAGACACGCAACGGTTATCACCGCATTTGGGGACGTAGCTACAAGCAACTGGTGCAGGGCCGCAGCAGTCGCTGCTCTTATTGCATTTGGCTAACTCTGCCTCGCATCGCTCTGTATCTCATTGAGTCAATAATAACGTAGCGCGGATTCAGTGAGGGTTTCACTGACTTTCGACTACGAAAAGATTACCGTCGTCATTATTAGAGGTAGGTGGCACTGCGGCAACCAGGGTGGCGAAGGCTAGAAGAGCGATCTTTAGAGTCGAAGGCATCTTAATAGTGTCAAGGGGGGTAGTATTGAATGATTGCTTGCAGGATAGTAAAGAAGCACGATAACAAGGTAACACATAGGGATTGTACACGAACGTATTTATTGAGGTATATGTAGTTGACCGAGATTTGTTTGACCGGAGTGCTCGGTAACTCTCAATTAATTACTTTAATCCTATTGTCAAGTGAAGTGGGTTATCGAGCAACCTAAGCCACCAAACCAAGGCTGACTTTAACTTCGGTGTTACCGAATTCTTGAGTTCAAGCTGGAATAGGTCGTCTGAAAACTTCTTATATTAAAGCAATTCATTCATCTCCCCAAGCCCACTACTTAAGCTTATCCCGTCGGTCGTGGGCCAACGTCAGTACAAATCAGTACAAACTCCTCCAGTTTTTCTCCAGCTCGGAGACAATCCTCGATTTTTAGTCTGCGGGAACAAGGAATATCAAGTCGGATTATCTTATAGTTCGCTCAATTCCCTCACGGAGATACGTACCTTGGTACTGACGTCGACCCGAGACCGGTGGGATACGGGACGACCGGAGACTTAACCTTTAGCTTAATGTTGTACGTAGCCATATATAGGATGCTATGTCGATAATCTTGTGCCGTGCGTCTAAGTCTATCCGTGGCGCCCTGACTGGAGCCGGAGCAGCGATACGTCTAGGTAGAAGCTCACCTGCCCAGGTACTTTCCACGTCTATGGTGCCGTGCTCCCCTCGCCCCCCGTACAGTCTGCTGCCATCGTCGACTACACTAGTAGCAGCGCAGCCAGATCAACAACGCTATAGAGTATGTCCAACAGCTAGTCCGTAGTGACCCTTGCGCGCCAATACAGAACGCGGTCGCCTACCCAGTCAACTACGCCGTTAGCAGCCTTAGGGGCTCCGGACGTACGGGTAATAAACCTCTGCTCCATACCCAGGA